TATATTTTAAAATGTAATCTATTCCTTCATGTTTATTTGATTATTTGTGATTTTAACACATTTTACATTTTGTTTATTGTATATAGAATTGTATTGCATTGTAACAATTTATTATTTTAGGATGCCTAATAACATCTGGCAAGGGGACTGCCGATGAAAACTAGCCTGTGGCTAATTCGGGTGCACTTACATTTGTTTTGAATGTTGATCAGTGTACATTGTCCCTTTTCAAATAAACAAATAAATAAATAAATAAATAGATGACAAAGCTGAATTTTCAGCATCATTACTCTAGTCTTCAGTAGTCCTTCAGAAATCATTCTAATATACTGATTTGCTGCTCAAGAAACACTTTTCTGATAAATAGAAATCTAGCAGTATAACTCTACTGTCACTTTTGATTAATGCATCCTACTAGCTCAATAAAAAATAATTTCTTTAAAATCTAACTAACTAAACAGCAGTGTATTTCAAAGCAAATTTAGAAAAATCTGCATTAAAATGCTGGATAGAAATACCAATATGTGAATAAGAATGTCCAAAATGTGTATAAACTATGAAGGAAACACATTTTCAAAAACAAAATAATAGAAATAAAAATGATATAATAATAAAAATTAAATGAAGAAATAAAATCTACAAAATAAAAATATGAATAAATTAAATGTGCAAATTCACTAATAATTCAATAATCATGGCACTGTAGCAGCATGCAGCACAAAATTAATGTACAGCTGTTTGAGGGCACCAGGGGGCGTTGAGTTGCTAATCTAGTAGTCTATGTGTGTTTTTCAGGCTGTTGATTGTTACACACAAGCCTTATCAGAAGTTGGCTTACACACACCAAGAGCAGCATGTGCCGCTCTGAGCTGCCTGCAGGTTAGTTTGACTGAATCACGTGTGACTTCAGACCGAAGCTAAAATCATGTCAGTGATTGGTTACTTCAAGCCTCTCTGTGTGTCTCGGGTTATTTTCAGGCTGTGGAGAGCATTGACGCCGTGGTGTTACTGTGTGACTCAGCGGATGAAGAGCTCCACCAGATTGCCATAGAAACCCTCCTCACTTTTGGTAACACATCCAGTCATACACATGACTAGAGCCAGACCGATATATCGGCAGGCCGATATTAGGCATTTTCCAAACTATCGGTATCGGCAGTTATAATAGCCGATAAATGAATATTTCTAAAATAAAATAAAACACGCTTGAACCAAGTCATGAGTGTTGGAGTTGTATAGTTTGTCCACCAGAGGGCACTCTACACCGTTCCTGTTGGCAACACTCGTTGAGTTGGTCATGATACATACATTGCTTGAATAACAATTAAAATAACATCCCCATCAGTTCTCTTAACTCAAATAAGCATGACAAAATTTGTGACAAATCATCTCCAGTTTAAAAAAAATAAATAAAAAAAACATCGGCCGACATATCGGATTTCAAAACCCAAAAATATTTGTATCGGTATCGGCCTTCAAAATCCTTTATCGGTCGGGCTCTACACGACACACCGGCTGCACAATTAGTCAATTAAGTGATGCTTCCTGTTTACGTTCTTTCTGCAAACGAGTGTACCCATTCTAGACAAACCAAAAATACACATTTGTGTCTAATAAAATGCTGTTTTCTTTTTCTGTGTTATTTGTGCAGGTTTAATAAGTCTTAAACTTAATTTTAAAAACTCTGCTGCACATACATTGTCTCAACGCCTATAAAGAACAACTCCAGCCTTCCTGTGTCTTACAGAGCTTTTTTGTGTGTGTTTCTCAGGTGAAGATGGCCGTCTGGCATATGAGCAGTTGGACACGGTACCGAGGGAGATTGTGCGGCTGGGAACTCGCCGTGGTAATGCGGTTACCACTTCATTTTAGAAAAATCAACTTATCCTCGTGATCCTGCAAAAACCCGGTGGGAAATACACACAACCTGCTCACAAGTAGAACAGTGAGGCTTCGGCTTCAATGCCCATATCTCGAGGTCTCCTTTTCTACAGGACGTTTTCATTGATACTATTCGTGTCGCAGTGGTCATGAATCGTTGTTGCTGATTGAACAATAAGAGTATTTATTATTGGCAGTTAGTTATTTGCAGTTGTACTGTCAGAGGCGTGTAAATAGCACAGCAAATTTTATTTTAATTTTGTCCTGGGATTTTTTTCTCTCTGTACGTGCCGTTCCGTTTCAGGGATTACAAGGGGCCGTTTTAATGGTCAAGTTTATTTTATTATTATTATTATTTTTTGACCTGGACAAAGTGAAATTACAATAACCTCTGGGAAAGGAAGAATTTCAAGTGTTGTTCCAACCTAGCCGGGCATATGAACTACTAAAAAAAAACGGCTTGTACGATGGTCTGCTGATTTACAGATCGCTCGCTTGCCTTCACTGATCAGGAGTGAATATTTCTATGGACGACGGAGCCTGTAGTGGACAATTGCATTAATATGGTACTAATACCTGGATCTTGCAACTAGAGCTGTTTGGAGCCCATCAGAGTATCTGAAAATGCACTTTTATTCAGTCAGAGAAGCGTGATGCATTACTGTGAATTTTGGTTTGTGCATAATTGAAAACTGGAAGCTTATTTGCTCTGTGATCCGAACTTGCTTCTGTGCCTATTGTTACTGTACTACTACTGAGTCACGTGACTGTAATATCATTTAATTTATTTTTTAATTTCTCTTCACTATAAATAGTAAGATGCTGATTTGACCTTCTTAAAAAATAAATAAATACGGAGAACAGATTGTATTAATATTGTACTAAACATCTGTTCACAATATGATTAGGGACAGTCAGGATTTGGTATTATTGAGGGGCTATTTTGAAAATTTTATATATATATATATATATATATATATATATATAGTTGGCATTTTACATATAAAACTATGTTTTATTAAGCAGTATCACCTTTTAACAATGTATTCGCTGAGTTCTACAGTATTTGTGCTGAAGGGAACCTTTCCTGAACGTTCTTTTCAGTTTGCTTATGCACATGACCTGAAGAAACGCTCTTTGCTAACCGAACGCTTGCCTCGCTTTTTTAACGCACCCAATGTTGGTCTCTCAAATGTGAATTTACGCTTATGGCGACAATTAAAACGCAGTTTTGTAGATCACCGTACCTATTTTTACAAAAATTTTCTATGACATTGAGAATTGTATGAAAGCAGGGGCTTAAAATCCATCAAAAGAGCACATTTCGAGGAATGTACTGAGTACGGGAAGGTTATTTGCCTCTAAAGCACAACTGAAATGTTTCGGGAAGATTGTTTCTTAACATGTTAAACTCTTTGTGGCATCTACTGCACAAAATCCTAAAGCCATAATGATACCGTAGTCAAATATATTTAAGGCTGTTTTGTGGTTTCTATTTATCAGAATTATGACGTATTCAAAAATGATTTTTTTTTTCCTGTTTTCTGTATTCAGTCACAGAAATTAATGTTTTCCACTTGCTTTGTGAGGAATGACCACCGTTACAGTATTTGATCCTGGGCATTGGTGATCACTCCTTGAGAATTTCTTTCTTTGCACAGAGATAAAGTGAAAAGGTTGAATTTATTGCCTTGTATTCATCTCAGACAGAAACTCAGTGAACTGCATTTTGTTCAAACCTCATTAAATTAGTGTCCTCCTTGATAGGAAAGCTGTTATGGTTTCGTGAGCGTGACTGTACATGTCGAGGGCTTAAGCGTTCAGCTTGCTGTTGCAATAGCTTTAGCTACTACTTACTGTTTGAATGAGAGCGGATTTCACTTGATGTCACAATGCTAATGTTCCCTCATTGTTTCATTTTTTTTTTTTTTTTGAGTTTACTGTATTTCCTCTGCTGAAAGTGGGAATAAAATTTATTTTTGCATAATTATCACATAAGACATTGCCGTTTTCTTTAAAATCATACTATCGGTCAAAAGTTTTGAAAGAAATAATTCAGTGGGAGATGGATCAATTGGTCAAAACACTTTGACCAATAGACCCTTATTCATCATCTGGTGTTGTTTAAAGCCCTTTGAACAGTTTGTACTGAAAGTGTCTTTTGGACCTTGAACCGTTTGGTTCCCACTGAAGTCCACTATATGGAGAAAATGCTGAAATGTTTTCATCAAAAACATAAATTTCTTTTCGACTGAAGAAAGAATGACGTGGACATCTTGGATGACATGGGGGTCAGTAAATTATCAGCAAAAGTTTTGAAAAGTGATCCAGTCTCATGCAAAGCACGCTTTCATGCAACTTCCTTTGTTTTGCAAATACATGAATTCAGCTTTCAAACGGTGTTTGTCATCTTGTATTTGAAACTGGCAGGACAACAAGAGGATGCTTTGTAACAGAGATAGCTCTGGCTATAAATGTTCTTCTGCAAGATGCACTCAGTTTTATTAACTCACCAGAGCACAAAAAGTGACATGTGCCTTTAGTTATGCAAATTAACCAAGCAGCAAAAATTGAAGGACAAATGTATAGTATCCGAAGCATATGAACTTCTAAACATGGTGATGGCGCAGTGGATAAGACACATGCCTTTGGCGTGAGAGACCCAGGTTTGGATCTACTGTGAGACACCAATGTGTCCCTGAGCAAGACACTTAACCCCCAGTTGCGTGCAACCTCTGACATATATAGCAATTGCAAGTCGCTTTGGATAAAAGCATCAGCTAAATGAGTAAACGCAAACATGACTGAACAATAATTGCACAATGAAGTAGGAAAGACTATGAAAGCTTTCCTCTTTGAAAAGGAACCAAACAGAAGTCACGAACTTGAACTAATTTCTTCAATCTCTCCACAACAGCACTGGAGCTGTTACCTGCTCAACATCCTCTGAGTCTGTAGTCCAGACAAACTGGACTGGGACAGCGGACCTTAAACTACCATCAGTAGCTCCAAGGTTAAGGATTCCAGCAGAGCTTGATGCTTGAACAATGCTCTGCACAAGACAGACAAGCAGTATGCTTGCATTTACACCAGGAAGAGAAGAGATCAGGAGAAAGACGTGTACAAAATAGGAGTTTATTTCCACTGTATGCATTCAAGTTTACATATGTACACTGGCAGTGAACTTCTGGTACTGAAAATAAAAGCTCATTTACAGCAAAGATAAAGTATTAAAAAAAAGGTGCAAAATTGTCCTAAAAAGGCAAAAAGAAAAATTGACTTAAGACCAAACAACCGGTCCATCGGTTCTTTTCAGTTTTCAACAGAATCATTTCAGCTTTCTTCATTTGTGAAATCATCCTTATGTGGCACACAGTGGTGAGATTGTTCCGTGTTAAGTTCAGCACTGTTCAGGCTTTCATCAGAATCACTCTCATCTCCATGTTCTTCTTGATCCTCGTCATCTTCAGGCTCAAAGGCGATCTCACGCAGCTCCTCTAGATTGTCAGGACTTTTACCGGTTAATCTCTGATTGAAATGTGAAAAAGCAAATGTTAACATAGGCATTATCTGAACATTGAGGTTCTTTAACTCTGTGATCCCACCATAATACTGGTTCAATCCTTGCATTCAAATCTTGGCAAGGCTGACAACTATTAAAAGGATCACTCACTTCAATCATGTCGGCCATGTGTTGAACATGCTGTGCGAGCTCCTGTAACTCATCGTTCTCGCTCTTCAGTTGTGCAATTTGTTCATCTTTGGCTTCAATGTCTTTGTGCAACTAGTTTTGAAACAAAAAGGCATCACATTTGCATAAAATCATTTAATACCAGGGGGTCCTCTGACAAACTTTCAGGGAAGCCAAATAGGTCCCCCCCAGATAATGTACAAATTACAGCTACCTACGGTCACACTAAACAAGCGTCGTGAACAAATGATTCAGCAGCTCTATAAAGAGAAATGGACCAAGATGGCAAAACATTAGCAAATCAACCTTTCAACAATTAACTCACCTTTTCATTTTCTTGGAGAACACTGAACAGTGCCTTCCGCCTCTCTTCTGCCACCTCCTTCCAGTAGGAGGACCCAGGAGTTTCTGGGGACAGAGAGGAGAAACATCCAATACAAAAGGCGGAATCAGGAAAAAAAAAAAAAAAGTTATTTTTTTATTACTTAAACATATTACATATACTGCTCTTACAGGTGCTTGAAGGAATGTCACAAGTAAAAGTATGGTACCTTCAATAAAAGGTCTAACTAACAGTTACCGTTAACAGTGGCTACATTTTCACGCAATCAAATAATCCGTTAGTAATCAGATCAGCGGCTCAATCGGACCGAAAAGCCTTCACGTAAACACCTTGATCCGACTGAGCTCAACCAGAATGAAAGGGGTGCTTCATTCCTCTTCTAATCTGATTGAGAGAACATGAAAACTTGACTAATTTCTTCCTAATTTCACTCTATATACACGTCATCTGGTATAATTGAAACAATTTGAACGATTCCGATTCCTTGTTTCGATTCCGGTTCCTAACGATTCTCGATTCTTTTAAGAGGCAGGGTCAAAAAAGTTTAGCCAACCTTGCTAACCAACGGCCTTTCTGAAGGAAATACTCCTTCTGTAAAAATACTCCTTTTGTCACAAATTTTGCATTTTGCCGAGATTTCGTTATTTTTAGAAAAGTGAAGCCACACTTTGGACCGCCGACGTAAGGTACTCATGTTCGACTCGCGTGGTTATGCCAACACTTCCGGTAGACGCTTCTTCGTTGGTGTTGTTCAGCGGTTTCTTCTTCCGCTCGGCGGATTGTGAATATCGAAACTACGAAACGAAATTTTAACTTTTCAACGATTCCGGGAAAAACGAAAAGTTAGTCTCGGTTCCAATCGATACTCGATTCTCGATACCCAACCCTAGCTATGAGGCATTAGTAAACCACGCCACATGAGAAAATGAACGTGTGGTTCCCAGATTAGGCCTCAATGTCAACGTTATCCAGGCTAGAGCAATGCAATAGTGGGCTCCCTTTTGTCTTATGGTGCCCTGTGGCTTTTCAGTTTCCATCTTTCATGGTCTTTCACTATCTGCGCTTCAATCTCTACGAGTTTAACTCAGGCTAGACAACCCAGTGAAGTCACAGATTGTACTGCAAGATGGTGGGGCTATGACAAGATATCTTCCTACTTCATTTTAAAGTGACCAACCACTTCATTTCCACTTGAATCAATAAACTTGGTCAAGAGAATGCATTAAAGCTAAGCAACTGGTCTCTGCATGGCAGCATTAACGGGAATACCTTAGGAAGAATGAAAATAATCCAATCAATGTCTCTGAACCATGTGTGATAACTTACCTTTGATCATGAGCTCATAGGCCTCCTGCGTAACCCCCTCAGGTTGGTTCTCATTTTCTGGACTTGTGGATTTTACAGCCACCTCTGCTTTCACCCTCTTTGAACCTTTTCCCTGCTCTGCGCTCCACATCTTCCTTTTAGGAACTGATTTGCCATTCTAAACAGGGTGAGATTGGCTTTAACAGTCACACTGTTTCACTCCCAACTAAAGTCTTTAAACTTAAGGTATAAAATGGCAACAACTAAGTACCTCAATTATCCGACCAAGGTTCTTATTTCCTGTAGACGGCTTATTTACTGCAGACGGCTGAAGGACCTGGAGCGTCCTCCTTCCTGATTCCACTCCAGATGTTGGCGCTACAAAGAATTTCTGAGAAAAGAATAAAGTTAAATAATTAATCTCAGGGTCCTCAGGTGTCATTAAACAAAATCTGAGGATAAAGGCTATTTTGGTGAGATGGAAAACTGAGCAACTCCATCCATGCACACAGTAACAGGCTCAATTCACCTGCCTCAACAGTCATTATTCTCCTCTTACACTTGTTAAGCTGTCAGTTCAAGACGACAACAAGCAAGGTATCGGAGCAACTCCACGTACCGGTCGTTCTAACAAGCGTGGGAAAGGGGCAGGCCACACATCAGCTGCATGCCGTAAACACCTCCAATTCCCACGGGCAGCTATTGGACAGCCAGCATTATTATCTAACTGCAACATTCTTTAACCTGTAATTACCGTGGGAACTCACCACAGAAGTCTCCTTATGACCAAATGCAAGTTTGGAGTTGGTTAATGTTTTGACTTAACAATACAGTGGCAAACAGATGCACAAGTTACTGGATCTCAGCACACAGACAATGATTAATTCAGAGACAGAGGAAGGTCTCTCACGGTTCAGTTTATCCTAAGTTGATCCGAGTAGTTGACATTTACTTTTTTCAAAAGTGACCCGACCATTATTAAATAACCTGAAAATAATTAGAGGTCCGTTACATAGTCACAATGAACACCATCCACTAGCTTTAAAAAAATATATATAATTCATAAGGAACATTTGAGTATTATTATTATTGTAGAGGATTTTATCTATGCGTAATGTGATTAAAAATCATGCCCTTGAAATCTTTAATCAATATAATGTACCCTTCCCCATACAAAAGGAAAAAAAAAATGCCATCACATCCAATTCATGCCAACTTTAGGGGCCGTTAATCAACATATGAGGATGTAGCTATTTTCTTTAAAACAACTAACTCAATCACCTAACAGAACAGTGGATCAGCCATTAGGCACTAATTTTACATCTAATGTGAACTGAATTGAAATCACATCCATTGAGCTTAATTGAGATGTTCTCAAATACCTTGATGTTTTCAGAAGGGTTCTCAGCATATTTGGGTCTTCTGATGGAGCTCATGTTTTCGACTAGAAAAAAAAAAAAAAAGTTTAGGAACTTGGACAAATTCATCAGTTCAAAGGAAACATGGTTATATGTATTTGACATGCCCATACTTAAGACCAACTGACGCAAATCATGACAAATTGTAGGAATAAAACTACTTTAAGTTCCAAATGTCAGGAAACTGAAAATTCACGTCAACCATTTTATATTGTTGACTTAATACTAGTGAAACAGTTAAAATGACAAGACAAGATAACCAAGCGTTTTATTACACTAAAACACCCAATTAGGGTGTAACATAAATATGACATTTGTATTGTCTTAAAATTATACAGAAGTAAAATTTAAAAATCACAAGCTTAAGTTGCAAAGAAGCAGGCCTCAGTCTTTGCCCACACAAACTGGATGAAACCGAGCCACACTCGTAACGTTACATATAAAACATTTAAACGCACACTAACATATTTTTAAATCAATGGAAGCCTCAAATAACTTAAACGACCAAAAGCCAACATGAATCACTCAAACTAAAGAAGAATACTCACAAAAAAAGGACCGATAAGCACGCACTGCTGAAAACAACTCACGAGTTCAAAACAGCTTGTGTGAGAAGAGCGCGCCACTGGCTTAAGTACTGCCTTTGTACCGTCACGTGACGCAAGGATTTCGCGCGGATAGAGGCACGTAAATGGTAAACAGAAGTCTTTTTTTTTTTTTTTTTTTTTTTTTTGCAGTCCATGCTATTCAAGGCAAGGGATATTTAATTTCCCTAATTTAATATCATATAATTACTATACATTTTTCAAAATTGAAATGAACACTATGAACAATTAAATTATGTGTATTATGTTAAATATTTAATAAAGTATGGTCGAAATGACAATACAATAGTTATTTTTTAAATTCATGTCTGTATCTATATTCAACTAACTTATCTATCCTCCATGTTGACACCCATTGTAATCATTAAATCCATTTCACATCCCCGCTTTTGTTTTCACTACAGTAGTTTGTAACAACAGAGCAATATGCACTATTAACGGTAAGTTAAAACTGAGTAGTAACATACATATAATTGGAGTGTTTGAGAAAAAACAAAATGAAATACACTGTCCAACAACAACACTCGCTCCATAAATCCAGCTGACAGGAGCGCGCGCTCCTCCTCTATCACATGTGCACAGCTGCGTGACGCGCATCGGCCATTTTGAGTTGTTTGTTCAGCGAGGAACGCTTGTTATTTTCCAGACAAACGCAGAACAAAGGGCCGAAACAGTCGAAAGAATCGCTCGAAAGACATTTCACCCTTTTCTTCCATCATTATGGGTCCACCGCGATGCAGATCTCGCCGTCTGTTACCTGAGAGAACGGAGGATTTCGGTCGGTTTGTCAGTTTATCTTGACATGGCATATACGGGTGTGTGACGACTGTGAAAAAAGCTCGAAAACAAACGGAGACCATCAAGCTAAACCTCAGCCGAGGATTAATTCATCCGGGGCGGGTTTTTGTACTAAGATCGATGTATTAATACGTGTTAGGATTCTTTGCAGTACTTGCTCGGATCAAAAAGACAACTCGAGAATAAAAAAATGGAGAGAAACAATAGTTAGCTAACGTTAGTTAGCCAGCCACTCATCGAAGCCAGTCTCTGCTAGCATCGCGATAACAAAAAAACAGGCCAACACAAAATGTAACAGTCGGTTTATTGATGATAACTAACTTTGAATGCTCTAGTAGATCTCATACTGGTTAGAAAAAGAAATGTAGCTCCCTTCAACCAGGTTATCAGTTGGTGGCGTGTGTGTATTCAGCTTAGCTAGCATTAGTTTGCTAGCCAGCCACAAACTAAAAAGCCTCACAATGAAACTCAACCGTGGCAGGAGAGCTCGTGGGCCCATTTTATGCCCTTAAACCCAAAGATGTCTAGCAAACTCTGTGTTCTTACTCCGTGCCAATATCTCATGGCGTCTGCATTTCTCTGCCATGGTTGTCTTTCTCACCTGTCATTCAGATGTGCTTTTATGAGACCGTTTATACAAAGACATGGATACAAGCAAGAGTCAATACTGGAAGAGACTTTCCAAAGTCAAATCTCTTGGTCAGCTTTTTAGATAACTAGTAAGGTTTATTTATCTAAAACCAGGGATCTTTCCCCTCACACGGACTCGCACACACAAAAAAATGGGTTTTCAGTGTAGCAGGCATTTGTGTTTTCTGTCCTTTATTCAGTAATACAACAGTTTCTCATCTAAAAAAGAAAAAACTAATTGATCAGGTCGTGTTATATGAGTGGTTTCTTTTTAGTGTACACGTAGCATTGGCTTGATTGTTTCTTTTTAAAAATGGTGTAACTCATCAAAACTTAGACAAGTGTAAAATTACTTGGCCCAAGTGCACCACCCGGATTAAAAATGACTTGATTTGATTTCACTAACTTTGTTATTTAATTCAAATTAGTATGTACTGCTGGTAGTGCTTGGTTATAGCTTCTTTAGTTTTTCAAAGGGTTTGAAAACCTCATTTACTACGGTCAAGAAAATAAAAAGCGAAAAAGTCTGCGTTAGGAAAATCTTACTGTCCGTAACAATGGGAGACCCAAATTCTCGGCGGAATCAAACTAGAAACCGACTCCGCGCCCAGATACGGAAGAAACGAGAATCTCTGGCCGATCAGTTTGACTTCAAGATCTACATTGCCTTTGTATTTAAGGAAAAGGTATGTTGACTGATTCTGTATGAAACCAAGAAATGATTTGGGAATGGACTGCCATTGTTCTAATATGCCATTCTACCACTTTTACAGAAAAAGAAGTCTGCACTCTTCGAAGTAGCTGAGGTGGTACCTGTGATGACAAACAACTATGAGGAGAATATCCTTAAAGGCGTGAAGGGAACGAGCTACTCCTTAGAGAGTTCTTTAGAACTTCTCCAGAAAGATGTGGTGCAGTTACACGCGCCTCGTTACCAGTCAATGCGTAGAGTAAGTACACATGTTTAGATCGTTGCTGTTGGCAGCATTGTGAACGGAATGGTTCTTCTTATCTAAAAATCCATGTCATGTCGTTCGAGGTCACTTTCTGTTTCACATCTGACTGATGTTTCTAAATCCGTACAGGATGTGATCGGTTGTACCCAGGAGATGGACTTTATCCTTTGGCCCCGCAATGATATTGAGAAGATTGTCTGTCTCCTGTTCTCCAGATGGAAAGGGGCTGAAGATGAACCATTCAGGCCTGTTCAGGTATAACTCTTGTCTTTCCTGGCACTTGGTTCTTATTAATCATATTTGGGGTTGCATGTTTGTTTAAAGTATTCAACTTTAGCACTTGTGCTAGTGTTGTCACGGTACCAAAATTTCAGTATTCGGTACCGATACCAGTTAAAATTCACGGTTCTCGGTACCAATTTCGGTACCAAAGCTTAGTTTAAATTTACATATATTTAAGTGTTTATCACGGTTACAAGTATGGAAACTGTACATTTGTATTATAAACACTTTAGAAAAAGATTAGATAAAATGACCTAAAATAAACAATAGTATACACTAACACATTTTTAAAGTTGTTTGTAAAGTTTTAATCCATTATTTATTTAATGCACAATGAATTAAGTGAACAAACATGAACAATCAGGTGTTTGTAATAAATAACATTTTCAAACATTAATTAATGTTGTAAAAATATATTGTTCACTCAATGTGTTGATAACTAAGTAATGTTTATGAATGGTATTGTAGCATTACCATAAAACATGTTTTATTTGACTTGACTGTCCTTTTATTAATCTAAAACTGCATTCATATTTAATTTTAAAAAGGCTTTTTAAACCTGCTGAGTTATAAAGGCAAGAATACGCCTAGAACTGGCACTGACATTAAATGACAATACTAATACCAGTAGTACTCTGGTGTCGGGTGGATACTACTGTGCTCATGTACTCGTAAAACTACCCCGAAAGCACTTTAGAGGCCGTTCACATGTCGCGCGTGTTTTTTAATTATATTTTTGCGCGTGCTTATTCTTTCCAAAGCGCTTGCTCTCACGCGGCGTCTGTCGTTGCTATGCAACGCCAACGAGTTTTTATTAGGAGCGCGCTTGAATCACGCCTATATTTGAAATTGCGAATTTGCATGTAATCGGCCTCTTATGGCAACGTGACATTAGCCTAATCCAAAATATTTCCATATGTGGCTCTTTCCTCTTTTCGTGTCAACAAGTGGATTCAGAGAGAGAGAGCCATATCAGCGTTATGAAGAGGACGCAACTGTGCACGTTTCAGACATCGCGTCTAGAACAGAACTGGATTAACCTGGTACTCGGTACCTAGAAAAGCTGGTACCGTAACATTTTTTTTTTTTTAGTACCGACTTGGTACCGAAGTACCGAGTTTTTTGACAACACTAACTTGTGCCATTTGCACTATGGACATGAGATGTACATAAAACCTTGAGTCTTGTTGAGGAAATATTACAAATCCACGTACAAGTTTACATTTACTTTCTAACATTCACAGGCCAAGTTCGAGTTTCATCACGGAGACTATGAAAAGCAGTTTTTGCATGCTGTTGGTCGGAAGGACAAGGCTGGGATGGTTATGAACAACCCCAATCAGTCTGTCTTTCTCTTCATGGACAGACAGCACTTACAGGTTGGTTCATTAAAACATTAAGTATAAAGGAACTTTTTTTTGTATCATTATTGTTTGTTTGGTTGTACATGCTAATTTTCTCTTTTTACATTTAGATTATCTGTGCCATTGATTATATACATATATAAGAACTCCTTTTATTATTGTGCAGTATTCAATATGGGAGGTGGCTTTCTGTGCGCACTTTTGCGTCGTGTAGCATAGAAAACAACGCATGGGTCTTCTTTCGCTTGAATGATTTAAACTAAGTCATCTTAAAAAACACTCAAAAGGAATCGATAAGAGGAATAAAATTTAAATTTTTTTTAACAAGTATCCGATTCCTGACCGTAAGCATCCAATTCCAGATTTTCGATTCCCAACCCTATTTATAGATAAAAATGTAAAGTAATTTCTTGGTCATCGTTGTTGGTCAGAGTTTTAATATCAGTAAATTCCTCATAATTACACAACTTATTATAATACATTTTACTGTGTATAATATTTATTTTTTTGTTATTGCCAATATCCTGGTGACTTGTCAATATTGGCCTGAATTTTAATACAAGTTAATCCCTAGTAATTATACAATTTATTAGTGGTCCACCGATATTGTTTTTTTGTTGTTTTTTTTTTTTTGATGGCTGATGTCAATATAAACCCTATATATATATATTTATCAATATTTAATATATTATAAATTCGAAAACAAATCTTTAAAATAAACATGCTATTAGGTTGACCACTACAACCTATTATTTGCTGTATTTAAAAGTGTAATTTATTGTCTTGTCAGTATTAGCCAGAATTTTAGTGAGTCCCATCTTATATCTAAATATTTACGGCATATTACAGTATTTATTAATAACCTTTTTTTCCCCCTTCACAGACTCCAAAAGCCAAGCTTACAGTTTTCAAGTTGTGCAGCCTCTGTCTCTACCTGCCACAGGATCAGCTTACCTGTTGGGGGGTTGGAGACATCGAGGACCACATCCGCCCATACATGCCTGACTAGGAGAAACGCACGGAAGATGCCCCTGAAGGCCTCGAAGCAAGTTGTCCATATCTACTCATCCCTCAGTTGAATAGAATTGAACTTGTGCTTGGAACTCTCCTTTTTGTTAACCACTCATTTTCATCTTGAGATTAATTTAGCTCCCTTTTTTTTTTTTTTATCCCTCCCTCCCGACCAGTCTTGGTTTGGCTCATCCCATCTCCCCTCTCTTTGATTTTATTTGAACCTGCATGAACATTGATTTTGAGTGGTTCTCTTGGAGCTGCACTGTCAACAATACCAGTCACCGAAGGAACTCTTTACGTTAAAGCAACAAAACAAAACAAAAAATAAAAAACGAGAGCGAGAAAAAAGGAGACAGATGTCTCTCACGTGTGATCTTCTAGTGTTGGACTGGCTAAACATCAGTGTCATGAGGGATAGTTAACATGTCTGTTATATCGAGTAGGGATTTCCTGAGTAATGACGATCAGTGACAGAGGACAGAAGAGCCTGGGTAGTCTTTCTCAAAAGGCTTCTATTACAAGGTGTACAATACTCAACTCATTTGGTGTAGGCATTGCTTCTCATTCAGTTACTGCCTTAGTTTTTGCTGGACATTTTAATTTGAGTGTCATTCCTTGCCTATAATATGACAAACCTTGTTTGTTTTTATAATTTCTGGAGGTATGGTGTCTGATGAGGGCGGAGGTGCGGTGTGATGTATATCTAGGATGGTTGACCTAAACTGTCAGGTGGGGGGATTCTGAAGCTGTTCTTTACTTGGGGTGGTAATAGTCACCAATTGAGCAATTCCTGCACTATATACATACAAGCTACTGATACCAGATGTAATCATTGGTGGTGGAAATGTGATGGGAGACTAATATTCAAGCGTATGTACCTAATGAGAAATTTCGTGAAATGGATCATTAAGGATTTGTTTTCTTTTCTAGACCACCCTGTTCTGAGAGTACTAAATATTGCAGTGCTTGGGACTTGGTATCTGTAAGCCATCCTTGTCTGTTCGTATGGCATAAAATCATTTCTTTTTCTCCCCTTTTGAAATTCTAAGTTCACATTGGAGGGGAAGGTGGGTCTTTGTCTTTATTTTGATGTACCCATTGTTTGAATAATTCTGTTGAAATAAACACTGTTGAACATATCTTAACCACAGTGCAAAATACTTTTAATGTTTGACTTTTTTATTATATACCATAAAGAATGACATAATTTACAGGGCATAAAATCAACTACCAAGGTGTTTAGTGTGTCTTCCCTGTGCAATGAGTTTTCCGTTCGCCTTGTTGGTGAGATCCACTGTTGCAAATGCCAAAGTCCTTCCTTGTTTTAAAACCTGCGCAGTGATCAAGATGTCTTCTCCAATTTTAGCTGCATTCATGTATCTGTTAATTAGAAAGTAAACACATATGAGTGTCAAGAGTCTCCTAGATGATGAATGTAAGTTATAAAATTTTTAATGGAGACTGGGACTACTTTTTATCCCATTTTTCTGTTGTTTCACTTCTATTCCAAGATAATACTCCTCAGCTACACCATTATTAGCAAGGGAATAAAATACATGTTAAACTTTTGTGACAACATACCCCTATAAATGTCATAGTTGGAACTTGCCATTTAAAAACCTAAGAATTTTCAAACCAATAAATGCTATAAATAAATTATAGAAATTTAAACCATATTCAGAACTTATTTTCAGCCAAAATCTACATTTGAATTACATGTTTTGCCATTGTGGTTTTCCTGTTTTCACTTTATCCAACAGTTTTTTTAAAGACTGTTTTGAGCTAGATATACAAACTACATTCAAACCACTGCATTTATGTAACTAGACTATAACAACATGCTGTTATAATATTTAGAAATGGTAACATTTAGATTAGGGTCGAATTTTCACTATTAACTAGTTGCTTATTAGCAAGCATAACATGTCTGATTATCCATATTTATAAAGCACATGTTAAAGCCTTGTTCTGCATGACCATATTCTACATTGCTTAAAAGGGTAGTTCACACAAAAATGAAAATTCTGGCATTTACTCACCCTCAAGTTGTTCTGAATTTGTTTCTTCGGCTGAACACAAGAAGATATTTTAAAGGTCAGTCATCACCAAACAGTTGATTTCCCACAGTATGGAGGGGAAGAAAAATACTATGGATGTCAATGGGGTCCATCGACTGTTTAGTGACCGACCTTCAAAATATCTTCTTTTGTATTCAGCAGAAGAAACATTTATAAAAGATTGGAGCAACTTGAGAGTGAGTAAATGACGACAATTGTCATATTTGGGTGAACTATCCCTTTAATCCTACACAATACCTAAACTTAACAACTACCTTACTAACTATTAATAATCAGTACTTATAAGTTTACTGAGGCAAAGGTCGTTGGTAATAGTGAGAATTGGACCCTAATGTAAAGTGTGACCGTATATATATATATATATATATATATATATATATATATATATATATATATATATATATTTTTTTTTTTTTTTCCCCCTCAATTTTTAGCTTTATTTCAATTGCCGAAAATAATTAATTTCAGTTTTCCATATCTCAGGATTCATAGCCCTTCCATATACATGACACAGTAACATACGTTAATGGTCTTGTACAGTGACACAAACATCCAAGAGCTCACGTTATATTCATGTCCACGCTGACTCCAGGCGCTCCTCTCTCAGTGTACATGATGGCAGTAGTGGAGATCACATCCACCAGTGTGGCTGTCAGTCCTCCATGAAGAGTGCCTCCTCTGTTAGTGTGTTCCTCCTCCACCTTCATCTCACACACAACTTTCCCAGGGGTTGCAGACAGTATTTCGACCTGATCACAAATTGAACGGCTCATTATGTTTACTACTGCAGTGTGAACTGGTCTGGCTGGTTTGCATATCAAATTGTGGTTTGTCGAGGAGAATCGCTGAATTTAATAAAGACACCCACCTTATTTAAAACCCGATCAAATCCAGGACAATCCACCATCACTTTCATGATCTCTTTTAGTGATTTTAGCGACAACGAAACCATTGCTGCTTTTGCAAATACCAACACGCAGTAAAGGACAAGTTCACTTTGGCAGAATGTTTGAAAGGTTGCTTTAATGTAATACAAAATAAAAGTGTATATAATTTAAGAGGTTACGGCATTTTTGGAGTTCTCCTCTGCGAGAGGAAATTAAAATTTCCACTGCACTATTCTAAATAGGTAAACAAAGTGCGAAGATTTAATCAACGAATATTTTTAGAAGCCAAGACATACCATTCGGCTGTGAGGACTTTTATTATGAAATAATGGATCCGGTCTTTTCAACGAATCTGCTGATTCGTTTTACAAAGTCGTTCTCTAGGCAAATGTACAAATAAAATGTTATTTATTTATTTATTTTTTATTAGACTTCCCTTATCTACTGCCTTGCTTACTTTGAGTATACTGTTATTTTTATTTAATTTTTTGTGCTTGATGTATCCCCTGTACTTTTTGTTCAATAAAATAAATAAATAAGTAAAATAAATAAATAAAATGGTAAGCATAATCAAAGCAGAATTTAAAGAGAAGTGGCAGGAGGAGTGGAATATGAAAACAAAAGGGATATAGAATTGTTTAATGTTAATGCTAATAATATTTGGATTCTAAATGTCTTATGCTCCAATTTATGCTGCAACAAACTGTACTGGCATATACGTGCCTACATATTTGATTAATATATTATTCGTGCATGGATTTGCTTAATCGTTTTTGAAAAAAAATAACTGTTCGAAAGAACCGATTCTTTTAGTACTGCAGTTAAATTCTTCCGGAAACCCGCTGTTTGAACAAGGCTAATTCTAATGTGAAGTTTACTGTGAAAAAATAAGTTTGAAATACTTTGAGGTCGTGATGATACTAAAGTGTATATCCAGTAGGTCCAGTGGCCAAAAGCAAATGTAAATATCGTTATATTTTCCGTATTCTCCGGGATCCACCCGGAATGTTTTTGTAGCTGTACACATTCAAATCCCGCCGTGAACTACGAACATGTCCAGCACTGTAATGTCAGGTAACCACAAGGATCATCAGGCAATGTCTGCTTTAGAGGAAACGAGGACTGGTCTTTGCGATCAGTTTGCCTCTGTGTCTGGATCGGATAGTGCCGTGGCGCAGTGTTATCTGGCAGAAAATGAATGGGACATGGAGGTAAATATCTATTACTGCACACCTTATAATTTTGTGGGTAACGTTTCCCATTAAACCATTAGTTCAGTGGTTCTCAAACATGTGATAATGAGCTGTTGAGTTGAATCCGATATGTTTGATTAGGGAGATAAAGAAAACGTGCAGTGTTGGTGGTCCTCCAGGACAGGTTCGAGAACCACTGCATTAGATTGAGTATAGCATGTGTAGTGATTAACGCCGTTCTTGTTCGTTTATTTGTGTTCCTGCCAGAGAGCGTTGAACTCTTTCTTTGAAGCTCATATGGATTCAGTGTTTGATGTTGAAGACGCAGAGGAAACCAAAGATGTGGCTGGGAATGGGATTAAGAGAAAGGGGGTGAATTCTTCTGATACTGCTGATGTTTCTGGAACAAAGAAGAAATTTAAGACGGATAAGGTCGATTGGTAATGTTCCCTACTCTATACTATTAATTAATTAGAAACCTTAATTTATTCTATTATTTTAATTAAATGATATTTAAAACAGTCACCATGAATTCAAAACAATATTGCTGTATTTATCTGTGCACATTATTTATTTTTATTTTTAATTTGCCAATGCAATTTTCAATCAAAATAACCTCCGCTCCCTCTTGGGCAGTGTGTTTAATGGTGCGAGGGCGGGATCAACCTGTCACTCACATGACATCACAGCAGTAGCAAACCATAACCATCAAACGATCCAATCAATTCTGGATGGAATGCTGGCTTTGTTTCTTTTTCTTTTTTCAAATTGTTTTTTTGTGCAGCATTGACTTGACAGCAGAGGAACCCTCTTGCTCCAGCCGTGTGAATTTGAAGAAAACTCCAGCTGAAAGTGGCATAACCGAATCTGATGCTGAGGACAGCAAGCTCTCCATCATCAGCTGGAATGTGGATGGTTTGGACACATTAAGTCTTCAAGAGCGTGCCAGGGGCTTCTGCTCATATCTAGTTCTGTGAGTTGTTTAGAGACCCCTGATGTCCTCTATTTCATGAATTATGTGACAAGAAGGGAGTTTTGTTTTACTTTTTATATTTGTAGATATACACCAGATGTGGTTTTTCTTCAAGAACTCATTCCATCTTACATTCAGTATCTTAAGAAACGTGCTGTCAGCTACTTGTTTGTTGAAGGTAAGAGAATGATCTCAGTGAAGTTATTTTGGGGTTATTTTGCTGATTCATGAAGTTCTCCTGTCATTAAAGGGAGCGATGATGGTTACTTCACGGCAATAATGTTGAAGAAATCAAGACTAAAACTTTTGGAAAGTGAGATCATCAGTTATCCCACAACACAAATGTTGAGAAATCTGTTAGTTGCTCAGGTGAGTTTGTGGTTTATAAGTGCTATCCAAAGATTGTTTGTGAAGATAACTGTATAGGTGTATTTCATAATCGAATCAGAATTGCACTACCATTCAAAATTTCATTGTTTATGGCATTACAATTACAAGTCAATTTTGATTCATTTAATGCATCCTTGCTGAATAAATGGAGTAATATCTCTTTTTTTTCTCTCTTTTTTTTAACTGACCCCAAAATTTTGACTGGTAGTGTGTGTATTCATTTTTATTTAGATTTCAAGATGGTGTGTCATATTATACATTTTATTAATACACACATCCATTTCTTTTTTGACTCTGTGGTTTCTTATTAAGGTGACTTTCTCCGGTAAAAAGCTGTACTTGATGACATCACATTTAGAAAGCTGTAAGAACCATTCGGAGGAGAGAATGAAACAACTGCGGGTCATACTTCAAAAGATAAAAGAAGCACCAGAAGATTCCACTGTTATTTTCGCTGGAGACACTAATCTCAGAGACGCTGAGGTACCAAATGAACTAGATCATTGATTCCCAACCAGTGGAGTTTGTTTAACCTGAAAAAAATAATAAATTTAACTATGAGTTTGTTTAACTTAAACTTAACTGAACTTAAATTATGATTTTATTTTGATATACTTGGAATGATTTAG